CACCCACCACTTTCTGCCTGCACCATGCCACTAAGCAGGACATTTTGATCAAAGCCAGGATAAACCAGTGACAAGTCACCCAGGGCCCAATATCATTTAAAAAACTCAATTGCCGTTTGGTTCACCCAGCACCCCAGATCCTTTGGAGACTTTGCAGTCAGTCTGAAATTTTAAAGTTCTTTCGTCAGACCATCTATTAGAGAAGAGGATGGGTGAAGGGATGGAAAAGCCACAAAGCTCCCTGCAAGTGGGACTTTCAGAAATCCAGAAATGGATTCTTTATTTTTAAAAATCTCCAATTGAATCAGAGGTTAACATCAGGTGGATATGCTGATTCATTCTGCATGTGTGTTTATTTTTCTACAAACATTCCTCTTGTATCAAGTGGCTTCAAGGCCTAGACTTGTAGCTCTGAACATCCCCTTCCTGGAGGATTCTCAAGCAGGGGTAGAGCTCTCACTTCATTCCTCAATTGTCCAGTTTGGAAAACGGGGGCCAAAGCACCAATTCTGTACAAAATTGTAGTAAATTTGTCAAGCCACCTTTCATGTGTCTACTTTGGATCTGAAAATGCACCATGGAAATCATGTGAAGTGTTTTTTTACTCTTCCTCTACTAATACCTCCCAATGGTAGATATGTAAAAGTGAAATGAGTGCATTCTTCCTACTCCTGATAACGACAAGCCTGACAGAGAACACATCACATAGAAGAACGTCCCAAGAATCACGACCTCTTAGAAGAATGTGAGAAAGTTTTCTCTCCAAATGGACTCTAAATAGACATGCCTTCGTAACTAGAAAGGTCTAAGATCAAATTTATGCCTTGGAAACTCTACGGCTTTGGGCAAATTATCTGAATTTTTTTGGACTCAATTTTTTATCTACAAAATGAGAATTAAGGCATCAACTTCAAAGGGTTGTTTAAAGAATGTGATTATGTATTTCTGTAAAGCACATTGCAAAGTATCTGACATAATAGGTACTCTGTAAATATTAGCTTTACTTCTCTCACTCCTTCAACTGAAACACAGACATGTAAAGAAAAGCAAGCATCCAGCCGTTTTGGAGAATGCTTGGTTTCCATTAGGAGGCAAGGGAGGTGTAAGATTAAACTCTTGATCTTATATGAAATCAAGGATGCATTTCCTATACATACACACACGACTCGCCCTTAGGGAGTTCATATGTATTTAGCATCCCCACTCCGTATCGTATCTACCACTAATTTAATCACCAAAGACTCCAGAGTACTTTCTAAATGTGAACTCATTAACTTTCCCAATCTCTCTGAAAGAAAGGCAGCTCACTCTCTAGGAACATCCTTCTTGGAAAAGAATACAAAGATAATGCAGGCGTGTGTCCATATCTGGTGGCTTAAAGTAAAGCCAGACTTGAGAATCCTGATTCTCACACCAGGCAACAGAAGGTAACAGGATGACCACCCATGTTAACCTGCCCAGTGAACAGAGAAAATATTCAAACCAGGAAAAGTAAGACCAAGGACCCCTTAGGCCTGACCCAAAACTGTTGGAACATGGAGGACACCAAACCGTAGTGCTGAATCCCAATTTGGGAGGGGACGCACTTTGTGGTGTCCCTAGGATTTGCTTTGTAACATAAAGCATTAAAGGTAGTGCCGAGATTCAAAACACCAAACTTAAAACTATTATCTTCATTCTTGCTATAATCAGGCGTACCACCCAACTTCCCATCCCCACCTCCTCTTCCCTAGTAATTCAGAGGCACCCAAGGTCAATACTGGCTACTTAGGGTTTACACTCACTCCCAAGGAAACAACAGCATGCCAAAAGGATACTTCCAAGATGAAAAATCTGTGATTTAACCTTGGAATGTTCTGGCTCCCATAATGACCACAGTAAGGTCCGGCCAGGAGGGCTTATGTTTTTTGGGGAGGGACAATGCATTGCTTTAGGGAGATCATCTGAGATAACTTGGCTAAGCTCTGAGTATCTATGCATGGTGCCACAGCAAATACCCTATGTCCCAAATGGAAACTAGCAGGGTGAAAAGGTTATTCATCTAAGATGGCATTAATTTTTGTATGCCTCCTTGGTACAGTTCCTTTTCGTAACATGCAGCATAAGATTTAACGTTTTTTTTTTCATGTTGTTTTGTTTTTCCTGAAGCCTTCCTCCAGCTACCTGAAGCTCTCACTGATTAGAACAGACCTCCTTTACTAAAAGGCATAAACTGAGGTGAAGAAGAACAAAGCAATGTACCTTATAGTTCAGAATAGGTAAACAAAAATTGGACAATTCTTTTCAAATCTCTTTAGCTTAAAAGAAAAAAAAATGTACTTCTCAAAATCCAAAGTCAACCTTCCCAGAGGAAAACTGCATATCTGTCTAGTAACCTATAGGAACATTCACATTTTTTTTTCCTAGAGAAGGAACTAACTTGCCAGTCTACCAACAATTTTACCAGTGCTTTAGCATCATGCATATCTGCACAACCTTTCCAGAGCCTACTATGTCATAGCGATCTGTGCATAGTGATCTGTGCTACCTACTCAAAGCTCAATAATCAGCCAACTATGTGGGACTTGTTACAGACGCATAAAATATGCGGGTGAAATCTACCTCCACCAAAAGAGAAAAGAATGCCTTGTTGACACTTTGATCTCAAGCTAATGTTTATTATTATCATTATTACTACATTTAAGTGAATGTACTAGATACTCATCAAATCAATGTTTAAAATGCATGTGGCTGAACTCAAATGTCAGGGGATTTAGAGGAACTGACTGGACCTTCATGTTCTAACTCTCTGCTTATTTGCCCTGGAAACTTGGGAGGGTAACTTGGCATCAGTGCACTGCACTTCGCTTATTTATAAAATGTTGGTAACTCTAAGGATTACCATGAGCTCAAATGTGGTGAAGTCACATGGCAAACTGTAAAATGCTACCAGATACAGCCAAGTATTAAGGTGAACTAGTAAACAATATGCATAGACAGACCTTAGTGTTTCCCCAAGTTTCCACAAACACCCAAATGTTTCTGAGAATTTTGAAGACAACAGACATGGAATTTTAAAGTTAGCTACAGCTGTGTTTGAATCTAAACTCCACTCAGCAGCTTTGCAACCTTGGGCAAGTCGTTTAATCTCTCAGTTTATTTATCTATGAAATGGCAATCATAATGCTTTACTATTAGGGCGAAATAATGAGGATATTGGCACAAAGTTAGCACCCAATAACTAACAGAAAATAGAACACAAGGAAAAAAAGCCAAGATGGGTGGAGATGAGAAGTGCTTACACAGCACCAGTTTTCCTTGTTTTTCCCCCAAAAAACTGGCATGCTGAACTTCGGTCCCTGCTTTGGAAAGAGAAAGGTAACTGTGACAGGCCTTTCTCAAAATGTAGAAATAACATCAATCAGATGAGACTTCAGATAACGCCCGGGTGCGGGCACCACTATTCCACTGCCACCACACCCCAGTACACGTTTGTAGCTTCCGGGATGACTGGGGAAGCCGAGGCAGGTGGTTTCTCGCCCACCTCCAACTCTGCCAAGAAGCCTGTGCCCCACTGAAGGGTCAGCCAGTGGCCACCCAGACACCATTCTGTGGGTTCCCAAAGCATGCAGGCCTGGCCCGTCCCTCTGTGCAAACAGCAGGCTGGAGGCCTGACTCACTGGACCTGTCAGGAAGAAGCACTGACATGGCTAACAGCAGAATGCATTCCCGAGGCAGAAAGGACTGTTTCCGACCAGAGTAGCCTATCAACAAGAGGCAGATTGGATGAAATAAGCTCATCATTCAGCCCACAGGCTCGGCCCTGCAGTAGCAGCTGGACTGGCTGCTTCACCCACTAGACCCTTGACTTACATCTCCCTCCTCCAGGTGAGAACCCGGACAGGAGCTGCCTTCCACTGCAAATGCAGCAAGGGCTCGTGGAAAAGGGAAGCTGTTTCCTGGGGGAGACTAGGAGGAAGGCGTGACTCTTGGTTCAGTGTTACCCGAGACACATGCCTCCATTTCCCCAATGGTAAGCGAGGCTGAGGCTGGCAACAATTTCTAACATCTCTTTCTGTGGAAGTAGCCCTTTACAAAGGCACCCAGAATTCTTCAATGATTAAGTCGTTATTAGCAGAATTCAGGGATTAGGGTGCAAATCCCCACGTTGCCTACCTCTTGAATGGCAATTTACGCTCTCTCCAAGCCTTGGCTGTTTTAAATGTTACCTAACGTCGTAAGATGTCAGTGTTAGGAGAAATCTGATAGGTCATCGTTCCAGTGAATTTATTTGACTGATGAAGAAAATGAGGTGCATAAAAATGCAATGACTTGCCTAAGGTCACACGGACAGACACCAATGCAGAGCTGTCACTGGAGCCAGACTCTCCAGGCCACACTCTCCGCACACAGTGGACATTGTTTATTTCATACACAATATTTATTCCTACTGATAAGGAATAAATACCATAAGGTCACCCTTATTATCTGTGATTCTTCATTGCATTCTGTGCATTTATTTCATATCTTAATGATATCAGACAACTAATGCATAACTACTGAAGTTAAATTTTTGGCAAGAGATATCAAATAGGAAAAATGTGTAAGTACTAGAAGTATAAAACTCAGTTACATGGAAACACTTTCACTGAAAATTTCCTGCAATAAATTTTCTAAAGGGTGTTTCAAAATCAGACTTGGGTGGACGCAGTGGCTCATGCCTATAATCCCAACACTTTAGGAGGCTAAGGTGGAAAGACTGCTGGAGGCCAAGAGTTTAAGGCCAACGTGGGCAACATAGCAAGTCCTCATTTCTACAAAAAATAAAAAGAAAATCAGACTCAACAACACATTCTTATTTTGAACATGAATGATACTAATGCACTAGCCAACTCTAAATGTGTTACACAACTCGAACTGCACACAAAAATGTCATTAGCTGAGAACAAGTATAATACCTGGCACATAGGAAGAGACCCTAAATACTTAAAAAAAAAAAACCTGTATCTACAGATACTCACCAGGCTTAGAAGATTTCTGTGCCTGACCGAGGTTTTTTATTTTCCATTTGTGCCTTGAAAATATGTACCTGATCGATTTTGTCATCTTCTCTGAGGTTTAACGCTTATTCTGATAAACTGATACACAGGTTTTAACAACTAACAGTATGAGTGGGAGGGAAAGTAACACACACAAAAAAAATTACCTAGCTCATAAGCCTACTCAATAACTCTGCTCTGCCCTTAAATATCCCTACTTTCAAAGGCAAAATTCATCCTGAGGTTCAAAATGCTCTTTGGGTCCTGGCCTCCTACTTCCTTCCTTCATCCCTTTCCACAAGTAAGTTTTTTCCTTCATGTTTATCTAAGCATCTCATTCATTCCAAACTTGCAGCATTCTTCCCACGCTGCTGTCCATATGGAAAATAATCCTTTCCCTGTTCTTACACCTCCTTCAAATGCTTCAGAAGTGCCCATGTTTCCCATGAAGCTGACCTATGAGACTAACTTACCATTGTTGCAAGAGAGAGCTTAACAAACACAGAAAATACAAACGGTCATTGATCCACACATATCTTCATAAATTTAAACACTGGTCCTCCTGCATTTTTTGCCGTGGAAGCACCTGGAACTCAGGAAGGACTTCATCTGAGTTTTCCTAACCAGCCATTCACCCATGAGAGATTTAAAGTACTCAGAAATGACCACAGGCAAGGAGTAGAAACAACAGACCCAATACTGCCCATGGGACCACCTGAGCCTGGAATTCCTAACCAGGTGTAATGCTTGGCCCAGATGGAGGCTTTTCCAAAAGTCTATGTAACATTACTTAAATTCGTTCATCTTTTTGTTTTATAGTTTCCTTTCATTCATTCTTTCATTAGTTCTTTCACATTTTCTTACTCTTTTCCTATCCACATTCCTTTTCTTGTATTTTTTTAATTCAAAAAGAATTTTGCAATTACTACACCATTCCCTTCCTCCCCTCCTAAAGAATTGAGGGTATGTTTTTTATTTTTGCTTTTGTTTTTGTCTACTTTAATGGTACAAAAAGAAAACATAACATGTTTTTGGCCCTTTTTAGCCCAAAGTAAAATTTCTCATCTTCAATAAACATTTAAACAAAACAAAACAAAAATTGTAATTGTCTTCACTTGTGTAATGAAGACACTTCCCTCTACTTCAAAGTTCAGTTGTATCTGTCACACACACACACACACACACACACACACAAACACACACATGCAGAGTTTACAGTTTCTCCACAGAACCTTGCAAAGCAAAAATCAATGGCTTATCATAGCTACCAAGAGGTTTCAAATACTTGAAGTGAACTTGTTTGAGGTTGATTTGGGTTTCTCAGATGCTGAGAAACAAATTTAAAATGTAATTCATGTTTGGGGGAAACCATACCGAACTTAAAGGGCTTCAAACTTTTAATCATGCACTATTAGCTTACTTAGATGGTCTAAACCCTAAAATCAGCAATTTGGAGAAGATATTCTAGAAAGTACCATTGACCAAATTTAGTGTCTAACTCGGGTGACCCTCATCTGTGGGGAGTGCCCCAGTTAATGTCTATCATGCTGATGCAATTATTAATAATGCCCCTTTATACTCTCAAAGATACCCCAGCTTAGGTGGTAAATTATATGATTTTCCTATCTCTACACCATTATGATCTGAAGTCTAACAGCCTTAAAATTTCTAGTGCTACTTTGGGTCTAAGAAGAGCACTATCTGGGTCAATATTTTACAACTCTTAGAGACAGTATCAAAGTCTACAAGAAAGAACAATTGAGAAAAATGAACAGGGCAGTAATAAGCCACATTTGAAGTGTCAAGTGACAGGCTTGCACCCAAGCAGTAGACACTGGAAAGCACCTGGGAAATACGACAGAGTTGGCCAAATGATCAATAAAATATTTATGGCTTGAATAGCAATATTTTGAGCGTGTTTGTAAGCATGGTTCTCTGCCAATGAAACCAGACCTACCACAATCTACCCTACAGACCTATTTCTTTCTATATCTGCATGGAGATTATAAACTATACAATGAGAAGGAAAAGGCGATGCAGATAGGCAAAGGCTTCAGAAAAGCAGCCAAGTAGAAACAGCCTGTTTATGCAATTTGGAAAACATCCACTGAAGTTTTAAAAAGATATCATCAACCCAACAGAAAAAAAAAAAAAAAAAAAAAAAAAAAAAAAGGCAGAAAGTAGCTACAGGCACATGACAAGTAAAAATGATAGATCTGGGAATAGCCTTGACATTCCTAACCCTCAGTTAAGAACAGCTTAACAGCTGTGAGTGAAGAGTAGACCTAGAACACGGCAAACATACAGGCAATTGCTATCAGAGGTTCCCTGTGAGCAGGGAAATGGAGCCGAGGTTTTCGTTAAGGAGCAGCTAAACAAAAATATGGAGATGATGCTGTTCATATACAAATTTATCTCTGAGGTGAGAGTGTGGGCACATACTAATTATTCCGGCAAATGTTCCCTGCAATGCAGTAATAAAGAAACCAATGCCTTAACCCTCAACAAGTGGCAGGAGAGTGTGACTGTCTGTGAGCCAAGGGCTGGGACAGCTGGCAGGTCTACAGGTAGACAGACACCTGGGGCTGTCCTTCCTTCCTTGTGCCAGGACAACAACAGACCATGTGCCCTGATGCATGGAATGGACTTTTTAAAAAAACTAAATTTTAGGGGAAAAAACAAAATTTATTTGAGGCCTAAGTAGCAAATGCAACTAACTAAGGCCTCTCTGCAGGCAGGAAAATTAAACTTTAACTGCCTTAAGAAAATGAACTCGTTTGCCAAGCTAAGTCTCATCACCCTGATTGTGAGAGATTCAATACACAGCAATGTCCGTGATGAAAGAGAAGAGATGGGCAGAATCTGGAGGCTCAGTGAAGGACTGACCTTGGAGGTGAACATAATCACCTTCCCACCTGTGAGGGAGCCAAGGCCACCTGGAAGATGATGGAAAAACAAGAATCCTGGTTCTTTGTCTTTCAATCTGAGGTAAGCATTGCTGGAACTTTTAAACATCTTTCTAAAGCAACACATTTGGACTGCCAGGCCTGGAGACAGCCCACAGGATGGACGCTTTCTCCAAGCCATAGGAGGCACTGGGCTAACAATGAGGACACCTAAGTCAGCTCAGGGGAGTCTTGCCGAAAGAGCAGGGAGCCACTGTGCCTCCTGAACCCCCAGAGCACCAACCACCACTGCCACTTATCTGCTGTGTTCTAATTTCCAGAGTTTTTTAAAATAACATAGCGCTTTTATTTTAGGTACATAATGCCTACAACATCTCATCAGTTTATAAATTTCTAGAGTGTGGTCTTAAGCAAAGTATGCATCTCTCAGAATCTCAATTTCCTCATCTGAAAAATGGAGAAAATAATACTCCCACGACACCTTAGAGTAAGGGTGAAGCATCAAAGTGCTCTTTCAGCTGACTGTACCCAGCACACAATGCAGACTCAATGTGTGCTTAAGAAATATCCCAACAACTTTTGAATGACAAGAACTACTACTTTCAGTGCAAGTTCATGGAATGCCACCACAGCCATGGGTTATTCATTACACAAACCGGAGAGACATCTGTAATTATACTGTCACTGTAGCCATTGTAGAGTTATCCGGGGCACTCTGAAACAGGGAAACTCTCCTGAAAAATCCTAACCTACACTGAGCAGCTCTCAGTTTTGCAGAGATTTGACAGAGCCCAAAGTGAGCTGGGCTCTGGGAGGTTCACGACGGGCTAGTTTGTCTCCTAAAGGGAGGCAATGCTCCTACAGGGTGGTCTGGCCTCTTTAAGAGGAAAAAAAAAAAAAAAACAGCAACACCAAGCAAAAATGCCAGGAATGCAAGCTCTGCCAACCAAATAAATAAAATAGGAGATGCTTTATAATAACTGGACATGATGCATTTCTCAGCCCTGCATAACTGAAAACTTGACTTTTCCAACAAACCTGCAAATGTTCCCCTTGCCCCTAGACTTGGTCGCCTTCCTGCTCTGAGGTAACAATGACAATCTGCATCACCCAAAGTAACTGGCAAACCCCTGTGCCTCTAACTGTGAGAGATGGACTTCAAGACACTCTGAAAGTTACCTCTCACTGTTTGCTCCCTGGAGAACAGAATGAAGCTTCATGGGCATGAGATCTCAGCTAAGCAGGTGAAAAAGTCCTCTTTAACTTTACTCTTCTTTCCCTCTCAAATAATAGGTTATCAGGAGATACATAATACAGCCACCTTACCTCCTAACAAACATTTCAAGGGCCTCTGAAAATTCTACACTGGTCACGATCATTTTTTGTTGACTTGTTTTCTAGTTAACTGTTAAGGGTTATAATGGATCAGGCACTGTTTTAAGATTTTGCACAGATTTACAGATTTAATCCTCATATTCATGCTATGAAGTAGAATGATTACACTCATTTTATAGATGCAGGAGCTGAGGCACAGAGAGATTAAGTCATTTGTCCAAAGTCACACAGCTACTAAGTGACCGAGCTGAGATTCAAATCCAGACAGGCTGGCTCCAGAGTCGCTGCTCTGAACCACAGGGCTCTTTAGTCACTAATGGAGTATGGTCGGCGGGGATCTGGGAGCACAGTGAGCAAGTGATCTCATAGCCTGGGCAGCTCTGCCCTTCTTTCTTGTCTACACTGATGAAGAAACAAAGACAGACCAAGCTGAGCAAGGACAAAGCTTCTTCCTATCTCTAAGTACAATGCATGCTCCCGACGGATGGACACCCTCTGCTGGGGGCGGAAGGGGTAAGAAGCTGATCCTTTGATTCTTATAAAACGGAATATCCAGGATTAGAGCTCCTGCTTTTATCTAGGCATTAAGCTCACCTCACCAAGAAGGTAAAGCACAGTGGTGAAGGCAAGGAAAAATTAAGTGTCTTGGGAATGTGTTGGCTTTGGCACCCAGCCCCTCGCAGCAGGCTCCACCAGGAGAGAACCAGGAGTGAACCCAATGGCTGCTTGTTTTTAAGCTATTTAAGATTCTTGCAATCACACTGTTGCAATCAGACAGCATATCCCACCTTGCACTTACATTTGCAAGGAAAAGTCAATTCTAATGTTATTTCAGAGTATATGTTAATTTGGTACTTAACACTGTCAAACTCCTGTGAAGTCTCAAAATAGAATAAAAGTGCATAAAGATTCTTGGTCAGGTCCTAGCCAGGAAGACAAATAATCCAGGTCTTGCGGCTCCTTTTTGGACACCCCACTTCCTTGCTGCCTCTGTTTGGCACTCATGAATTGGGGAGGGGATGAGGAGGAAATTCTGGTTTAATCATTTAAGGCAGATAAGATCCCACGCTAGCTGTCTCCTTGCATAAGAAACTAAGCAACCCAAAGAAATCATTCTGACAAATATTTAAGTCGCAGCTGCGGATAAAAAGCTAGGCTGTAAGAAGTTAAACTTTAAACACATGTCCTATATGGTCGACGGGCAAGGCAAATCCACACTTAGCCAGTGTCTTATCCTTCCACCAACAAAAGCAGACAGCCCTGCCCAGAAACTGTTTCTCCCCTCCTTCCTTTGCACCTGCAAGTTAAGTCTCAGTTGAGGTTTCTTTGCTGAGCTTTTGGAAGGTAACTTGCAACATTACTCAAAGCAATATACATTGAGAAGTTAGAAACAGGAATTGATTATACTTCAGCCACTGGCTCACTACCTATTTTTATGTCAATTATTTACCTTTCCTGTAACTCTGTTTTCCTCTCTGAGGTATGGGTATAATGTTCACATATAAGCAACTAAATGTCCAGAAAAAAAAAATAGTTGATTATAGCCTATGTATTTTTTCAAGTTTCTGTCTTTATTTTCTCCAAGATAATAAATAATGGTGCTAGAAATCAAACCTCTTTACAATGAAAGGCAGAAGACTGCCCAATTTCTTTGGCCAGTTGAAATTTTGTTGTATTGAAGGTTACATACAAAAGATGACCAGTGGCTTGGAAATCTTTCTTGAAAAAGAAAGCCATTGAAAATATGCTTATTATAGTGGACACTGACTGTAGCATTAGGCCTTATTGTCCCCATTTTACAGATGAGAAAGGTAAAGAAAGTTACTTGCCTAAAGTTTATTTTTAATCAATAACTGAAATAACAGCACCATATACGCTGTCTCTACTAATATTTAATATTAAATTACCAAAAAAAATTGCTTCAGCTGTTCGCTGTGATGTGAAACATGTGTTGCCGGGGGCTCTTTTTCATTCCCAGGATGAAAGATGTATTGTAGGTATGTGGACTGGCATATCGACACGATATTTCCCAGATGACCAAATCTGTCTCTTCCCCCATAAACACCCATAACACACATATAAACAAGCTGTTCTTAAGGAAAGGACCTATTCGTTGAGTTTATATCTTTGTTGTGAACTATGCTTTCACTTCTATATATGGTTTGAATCAACTGTGACAAACAGAACTAATTCTGGCTTCCTTGAACCCCCAATACAACCATCGTAGAAACATCATCTCTGAATCGTAGGCCTAAGTGCCTGCAATGTCTCCACCGCTCCAGTTGTGCTCTGGGCATTGCTCTGACCACCATCATCCTTGCAAGGTGACACAATCTCGGCCTTCTGTGCATAGCAGTCCTGGAGCTGAATGTCAGGGGGCCCCAGGGGAGGGGGCATGACCTACGTGTCTTTATTAATGTTTCTGGAGGACCTCAGAATGACAAAACATCAGCTTGGTTGTGTTGAAAGTTTAAGCAGATTAAGAAAGGGTTAAAGTAAGCAATAAATTATGGCAGAGGCAAAGAAGTGTTATCCACAAGGGGCAGCAACTAAACTTATTGATAATCAGATACAACAGAGGAGCCTGTTCTTGCAATTATTTTCCAGGATGTACTGCCTTCTCCCTGTATATTTCTTTCTATATAGCTTCATCTCCAAAATCACTCATCTCTAAGGATAGCTGGCAGTGCCTTATCCTAAAAGAAAGCATCTTTCCCTTTCAAACTGCATTTATTCCAAAATTCTATAAGGCCAGACTCCCTTAAACTGCTTAGCACCAGTATGTGTGTCAAAGACAAAAAAAAAAAAAAAAAAAAACGAAAAACAAACAAACAAAAAAAAACTTGCTATCCTTGTCTTCTTCAAATGCATACAAATGAAAGAGTTGGACACCACCATGAACCAAAGACACAAAGTCACATTTGGGTGTTGGATGCTTTCCTTCCAATGGACCTTTGGTACCAGAAAAAAAAATTTATGCAGATTAGAAACACACGTAAAGTAAGTAACCTGCATGAATAGGATCAGACGTTTCCCAAAGTCAAGAGGATAATTTCAGTTCTCCTCCGGTTTCCTCACCCTCAACCCAGAAAAGAGGGGCATGGCATGTGACATGGACGCTTGGAGAGGCAAGACGTTATTTGAAAATCTGCCTGCAGGCCAGCCCGTTAGACTGCCTGGGGCCCTCCACCCAGCCTCAGTTCTGGGGGACATGGAGTCAGGGGATGATGTCCTCTGAGGCAGCGTCCATCTCCCCTTAACATTAAGGAATAAGGCCAGAGGGTTCTCGCTCATTTGGGAAAATAAAAAAGCAGGAATTTCTGTAAGCTTTTCCCCTCCACTCACAAAAACACAGCTGTGAAAATAAATACCACCCCCTAAACCAAGGGTCTCGGGCCACCAACAGTCCTCCTCCTCCTCGTCCTCCTATTCCAGCTGCCAACAGCATCCCCCGCTCCTGAAGAACTGCACCGCCCAGAAGGGAACAGCGAAAGGAGGGAGAAGTCCAGGGGACCCCTGGCCTCTGGCCGAGAGCTTGGGTGGGGGCCTCGGCTGTCGCCACTCACCCGGGGAGGGGAAAAGCTCCAGATCGACTTTTTCCGTCTTGATGATGGTGAGAGTCGGCTTGAGATCGACGGCCGCCTTCATGGTGCCAGGAGTGGGGGACGGACGGGATGGCAGCAAGTTTGCAGTTACAGTTGTTTTTCTTTTTAATGGGGATTAGTAACAAGGGGAAGGGGACGGGGGAAATCCGACTCTCTTCCCTAAAATCTCAAATTCCCGCTGCCTTCCTTTCCCCCGCGCCCGGACGGTGCGCGCCCGGCACTCCAGGGGAAGTTGGCACTTTGCGGCGAAGTGAGCGCGCTCGGGTCCCAGCCTCGCCCGCGCCGCGCCCGCTCCTCCTGCCCGGCCCTCGCCCGCTCCCTCCTCTCCGCCGGCGGCTGCCTCGCTCGCTCTCGCTCTCGCTCTCCCGGCCGCACTCCCTCCCTCTCGCCGTCCCGCGCTCTCCCCTCCTCTTTAGGGCGTTTCTCGCGGCGCCGCGTCTCGGCCGCTGGGTCCGCGCGCCCCGGGCCCAGCGTTGTCCGCGGCGGGGAGCGAGGGGCGGGGCGTCGGGGCGGGGCGGGGCGGGGCGTCGGGGGTGGGGCCGAGCACCGCGGCCAATCGCCGCCCGCGGCCCAAAGCGAAAGGAAAGGCGGGCGAGCGCGGGACCCCGCCGCGGCCACGGAGGAGCAGTGCGCGGAGCCGGGGGCCGTGGCACCCAGGCCGGGGCGGGAAGGGCGCACAGGCCGCCTCCACCGTTTCGGGAAAGTCCGTCTGATTCTCCACGCATTCTTGAGGGCTTGGTCACCCGCTCCCGCCCCTCCCAGTAGCAGCATACTTTCCCAAGTGCGTGTGCATCATTCATTCACAGAGACTGACACACAGGACGTGAGGCATGTGGATGAAGGCGAGCGTGCAGGCAGGCGCAGGGGATTCGTGAGCCCGTGTCCTCAAAGGGCTTTAGGAACATCGGACTCCAGCCGGGTCTTGAGTCAGGGCGTGTGTTTCTGGGGAAGGCTTCAGTTGTTCAGAGCCCACCATTGTAATGCTCCTGCGTTGGCAGGAGAGTCCAGAACGGGACCCCAAACTAGAACCCAGCCGTGGGTTTCCGTAAGCTTCCAGTTTACCTCCAGCAGTGGTTGGGTGGAAGAAGTAGTTATAATTTATTTCTAATTATTCTGTTCCTCTAATTATGTCACCATTGGCCAAAGCTTTGTCTCTCCTTTCACAGACGCTCCTGTTAGATAAAACTAACAACCCTCCCACGACGGCCACCAAAAAAGTGATGCAGAGGCTCTGTGGTTTTAGATTTCTGGAGTATCTCATTGGCAGCCATGACAGAATCACAATGCATAGTTTCTGTTCCATTTGGGAACTCCCAACACTTGAGAAAATGAACCCAAATAATCCATGGTTTGCCACTAATACATTGGTTGTAATAAATAGAGATAGCTTGTCCTAATTAACAAATCAGCCAGTACATATATCAACCAGTACAAATCAACCAGTACAAATAAATAGCTAGAACCAGGCATTGAGCTCCATCTTTGATCAACAAAAAGATTAAACATAAATCTTCCAGAGCAATCTCAGAGAAAGCTACTTTTAATATGTTTTCTGATTTCTAAGCACTTAACTCCCAACACTTGACTGTAACTGTAACCTCTGCTTCTGGTAAGTTTTAACACACATCCTTACCTTCATGTAAACCCAGTTTTGTGTCCGTGAAGCCTTAGTAATTTGCAGGTTTCCCACAGCAAATCCTAGAGGAAGCCAGGAACAGAAAAATCTCTGGCTCCTGATCTAAACTCCAGATTAAGTCTCTCCTTAGTGACCAGAGGAAAATATTTGTATGTGATAGTCCTAATTTTTGAAAGAACAAAGATTGTTGCAATCCAGCTGTGTTTCCAAAAGGTATGAGAAAACAATGCTGGCCTCCAGATGACAAGAACAGACACTTCTGGTCCTGGGAAAAGCCTAGGGAAACAGCTGATGAATGAATTGTACATTTACACGTCCAAATGAACCGCAAAGAAAAGGTTCTTGAATCAATCCTGCCTTACTCACTATATATTCATCAGTAGAAGTGAACAAATCTAGAGTTGCTTTGGGGAATTTTGTTTTGTTGATGTTGTATTAAGAAAATTTGGCATTTTGTAATCCAAGTGAGTTCTCTATTTTCAAATGCAGCTTCCTCAGAGCATCTCCTTTCTCTCTTCCCCAGTCTGCTCCTCAGCTTTCTTCCCCAGACTAGCCTAAACACTGCTGCTAACATCCACCAAAATTAGATACTAAAAAAGCCCACAATGATTAAACTGTAAACACTTTCCATTCTAGCAATGAGGAAAAATATTCTTTCGAATTCTTCAATAGTGGCAACGCAGATAGTCAATCATCCTTTTCGTCACCCAGTCCCAAAGCACAGAAACAAAATGCGTGAAAATCAAGGAATGGGGTTATGTAAAGCAGAAGGTTGGAGAGATAGCCAGGCACCACCACAGGCTACCAGAAAAGTTACATCCAGATGGTATTAATTATGAATATATATACCATCAGAAGCTGTGCATCTAACCTTTGATTTGGATAAAGAGCACTAATAAGGTCAGGTTAAAATAATTTTTTACATATTTGAAATATAATAATCCAATCAGGCCTGCAAGGGTCATGCTTGATTAATCAATGTTGATAAATGAAATTTTTATTCATTCTCTTTAGGACAAGGGTAGGTTTTTCTAAATGTTCATATGGACTTTAAATGACATTTATGTGTTATCATATGCTTAAAAATGATGTAGTGCATAAGACATTATATATACTTTATATATATATATATATATATATATATATATATGTTGAATGATGAACTACCAGCTTCCTGGTCACTCTGGGCCCCCCAATTCAATGGTTAAGTGAGTTTGATATGTTATGGCTTGTGAAGATGAACTAAAAAATGTCAGAGGCTCTGCCTCTAGATCTGCCCTTTTCCCTTCATATTAGAGCAGAACCACTATCCCCAGGACTCACGTCCACTCAGTTACATGTATACCTCAGTGTCCCCACCAGCAAAACAACAGCAGCCAAACTTTGCCTTTCATCCACTTGGGCAAGATGCTTCAATATTATATCTGGTTTTTAAGGCACTTAGGAAAAAAAATCAATCAAAGAAATAGTTCTTTGCTTGTGCTTGTACTGTAGCAGCCTGTTCCTCCTACATTTTAGAGAAAACAGAATTGTATTTTTAAGCATTCCTTAGACTTCGGCTAATAAGTGCTGAATCGCCTTGGATTACTAGGAACATCAAGTCAACAAGGGCCAAGAAAAGTCTGCAGAAGTTGGGGAACAGAAGAGTGGAGCTAGACAATAATATTAAGAAAATAGTCACTTTCATACAGGAATTCCTTAAGCACATGGAGTATGTAAAAAGCATACTTTCTTTTTTATTTATACTCCTTCCTCAACCCCCTTTTTTATTATACACCCCAACCTCAATAAAAAAGAAATAGAAATATACACGTAATGTTAAACAATCATGGAAGACAGAATTGCCCTCTCCAGAAGTGTCCTAGCATGCTCTCTACTCCTGAGTCTTGAACTCAACAAAACAAAGAATCTCTGACTTTTGAGCTAAAACATGCTTTACTGAAGGTAGGTACAAAAACATTCAGACCACTAACGGCTGATCCAGAACCAGTTTATGACTCACAGATGTTGATTTACTGGTATAAATGTAAGATTGAGAGAGAGAGAGAGAGAAAAAAAAAAAAAAGCCCTCAATTAACAACAACCTGTCTGAGCTGCATTTGTGGTCTCATTTTTCTCTGAGAAAAGGCAACAGTCTCTGTCATACACAGAAACAGGCTTTGAAAGCTTACCTCTAAGGCAAGTGGTTCCTATGTGATAAGTTTAGTCATTAAAAAGCACACTAGAGAAGAAAAATGCCTGGCACTTCAATATCTACATTATCAAGCAGCAATAAAATGGAAAATCAGAGATAGGAAGGAAAATTAAAATAGCTCTCTTAATTAAACTTGGATGCCAAGAGGCCTTAGGGTCAGTTACGGAACCCAAGTGAGGGGACTCAGATAGTACTGTTGCTAACTGCAGGCTGGCTCTGTGACCTCACCAAAGCCACTTAACCTTTTTGTGTCACAACCTCATCTCTGTTTCAGGGAATAAAATCACCCCTAGCTCTCCCTAGAATGGAACACAGACTCATTGCCTATTGTTTAGAAGGCACAATAAACAATGAGGGTAGGAGGGGCTGCAGTCTGGAGGGAAGAAGGGAGGGAGGGGTGGTGGGGGAGAGGGGAGGACTTGGGAAACAGTTAGCCCTGGAAAGCTCTCTATAAGAAAACAAAGAGGATCGTAGTGTGGGCTTTGGAGTAAGACTCCGGTTCAAATTCTTACTCTACCAACTAACCAGCTGAATTGCCACAGGTAAGTCATTTAAACAATCCTGAACCTTGGTTCCTCCATGTTTCAACTAGGGACAATAATAGCACACACCTTTTAAGGCCATTTGAATGATTAAATGAAATAATGCAAGCAAAGCGTTTAGCACAGCGTCTACGTGAGAATTAGGATTCGATTCTTGTTAGTAAGATCTAGTATACAGTAGAATATGTGAGAAATCACATTAAATTCTCTACAGCCATCCCTTTGCAGAATAGCTTGGATGCTCAATTTACTTGAGCTATGTCCAGTGAGAGACAGAACAACTGTCACCACATTTAATTTAAAAATCTCCTCAAACCCCTTCCTCAGTTCTTAAACCGGCAACCTGCCCAGCATCAGCCTCACTTGAGAAATTCCAAAACTACCTGATTGAAGAGAACTACATCTTTCTATTTGTTTTGAGTCACAGAAAAGTGATCGTTTAAATTCTGAAAGAAGATCACATTTGTGATACTTCTTTAGAGACAAAAACTTAGCTCTTGGATTTGTCACATGTTAGAGCATAATGCTAGTTTATTAGTGTTCTCCAGGTTCAGCACTCCTATTTACCAGAGGAGAAAAATGG